CATTTTCTTAATGCCTTCTACCAGATCAAGTGAAAAGGCCCTTCTTGTTGTCTTTAAATTTAAACCTCAGCCCATTTTTAAAATTTTAATCTTCTGGACATGCAAAGATTCATACCACTCTGTCATATTTTTTCCTAGACTCTATACTTCTTAATCGAGGTGTTAGAGCGTCTCAAACTTGTTTTAGTGCATGAGACACTTTTAATGGGTATATAATCCATCCAGTTTTCTCAATTTTTGCTAGTTTAATGAGTCCAAATGCTTACTATAAAAACAGTATTGGGGCAAGCATGATAAGTGAATTTAGATCACCAAAGGAATAACTTGAAAAGTTATTAGACATTTGCATAAAAGAAAGAGAAAAGACCTTTCATGTGATTCTTCATAAAACAAGTGCTCCCTCACACACAATATCACAAGTAATTCTTGAACATCGGTTACTTTTCTTCAGAGATCTAATAAGGAAAATCACAGAATGAAGGTCATGGGTATTCACTGAGGGTGGGAGGCAAGGGGCATTGTGTGTACTTTTGAAGAATCTAAATTATTAACAGTAGAAATTATAGGCCTCCCCCAAACATGAATTTACTGTGGGTAGTGAACAAGGGACATTAGGGTGTGGTTTTGGAGAATCTAATACAGGTGAAAAATTGTCACCTCTATTAACATCCCTCCTCCTCCTGTAGTTACTTTTGCCTTATCCCCTAGTTCATCAAATTGCCTGGTTTTTGGAAAACATTCTGGTCCCAGGATTCTGCGTTGGCTGCTTCTTGTGCTCTAAATGTCTTTCTTCCAGAAATCTGCATAGTTTGCCTCTCCTCTCCCTTTCAGTCTATTTCTCCAGCTCCATTTGACCTTTCGTCCCTGATGACATTATATAAAATTGGCACATAACTCCAATACACACATTTTCTGTCTTTCTTCCCCTCTTCATTTTTCTTCTCAGGATTATTACATTTATCACTATAAGTGTTTATTTTCTTAATCTTCCTTTCTCTGTCAAATATAAACTTTGGAGGATGAA